ATATTTCACTTCACCCTCTTGATAACATGTTAAATATTAATTAAACGAATTCTGTTATAGTGGAATCATATTAGTATCTAACAATAAAACCCAAACTATCTATATTGTCTTGAACCTCAAAAACGGCATTTGTTAGTCCTTGGCATCAGCAACGAAAAGAAAAAATCGAAGTGATAAAATACCTAATGAAAGGTAGACTTTAGTAGGTGTGATACAGCACTTAGAGTCTACGAATTTAGCTAGTATGGTATGATATTTTTTACAAAAGCGCCATAATTTATGGGCATTGAGATGGCACCATAACTAATCATGTCTATTTTTATAGCCATGGTTTATAGCCATGATTCAATTAGTATTGTAGAAGGCACTTTAAATATCAAAACTATTGTACTTTCAAAATGAATGTTCGGGCTGAGAATAAAAATTGATTTTTAGTAAATTAGCTCGTTTTGAAGAAACTAGTGAAAATGAGTCGAATGCGCTAGTGGCTAATGAGTCGAGTGGCTTAAAGCTGGTGACAGACTTATGCGTTCAATTTAAACGAGACATTGTGATTGGTGATTGATAATACCATATTTTTTCACTAAAAGATAGTCCGTGAAGTGTGTTCACAGAAACAACTAAAAAATCTCATTCGGAACAAGTGTACTTCCATCTTTGAGTCAGTTCAAAGATCATGTATTAACACTGTGGACATTAAAAGCAGTCTTAGCAATTGTTCGGTTCAACTTTCCGATAGCTTTTTATACTCGATTAGGGTTATTTTAAGGTGGTCTACTCGCATTTCGTTTTGCCATATCTGATAAGTAAGAGTTCTGACAGATAAGTCTCTAAGAAGAACTTGTAAGATAGCGTATATGGGCTGTTTTAAAGCGGTCTAGTTACATTTGGTTTTACCGTCTGAATAAGAAATTTGATACATAAGTCTCTGAGAATTGGCGAAACTTATGGGATAGTTTATATGGTACGTTTGAGTTATCTTCTCATATAGATTTTGTAGTAAAAAATGTGTGCCTATGGCTTAAAAAAACATGTTTCTCATTAGGAAGCCAGATTGGGAGTGTGTACTATTTGAAAAGGATCTTTATAATAAAATCCAACATCTCTTTATAAAGATGGATTTACATAATTTATAAGCGATATATAAATGCTTAAATGATTTAATGAAACGAATTTTTCATAATTAATAAAAAATTAAATTAAATGAAAAATGTGCTGAACTATTATTCAACTATGTATTAATCTAGTATTAGAATACTTAAGACAGAGTTTATTTAAACAACTATGAAAGAAGTTCAAAAGAAGTCCATTTGCTGAACTACAGCTTTCCAATAACTAACGGAACTATGAAAAAAGTATTAATATGTCAAAAAATCCAACATATATTTTATTTTACTGTAGGTATATAACATATCAGGAACGCAGTGCCTATTAAATGGTTTTCTGATCACTGCGATAACGTAGCCAATGTACTGGGTTGATAACTTGGGCAATGAAAACACTGAAGACCAAAACCATACATCAGCTTTCTTTCGTTGGTTCAATGACTTTGTGGAGTCTAATCCGAAATGGGAACAACTTGCAATGTAACGAAAAGTTTTGTAAAAGAACTTGACTATATACTGGCTATATACTGAATGAGAAGGTTTTAGGAATGAGAAGGACCTCATGTTCTCTAACTCCCTCCCTCTCCTCTCTCTCTCTCTCTGTCTCTCTCTCTCTCTCACTCTCATTACAGAAATTAAGAAATTCAAGTTAAGTCAGCTTAATTTGTTTTAAGTTTCAGGTTTGAGTGGTCACTTGAAGAACTGCCTTGATTTTATCCTAAACTACATTAAAAAAAATAACATGACAAATAAAAACGAAATCACTGATATGTTCAAAAACTATGGTTTGGAGATACAAATTAGAATGTTTTTGCTTGGATAGTTAAATTTGTATAACGGCAATACCAAGCAAAGGAAGAAAACCGCCAATAGAAATGAAACATTGAAGAGAAATGTAGTTTGGTTTGCTTCACATATACGCGAATATAAAAATGAATATTTAATAAAATTTTCTTCTCCTTCTAATTTTATTTAATTAACATATTTTTAATTCATATAGTTATTATGATATAATTATTTTGATTACTTCTCTTAACGTTGCACAGGATCTGTTTAGGACGGACAGACGAACAGTATGTCCCATTTGTAGGAAACAGTGAATTGATATAAATATTGCTCACAGCTGGTAATTATTAATCTAACTAAGAAACTGCGTTGTCGATGTCGCCAGTTGGAACAGACGATCGCATATAGTCTTTATGACTTTTCTATGAAATGTAAGAATCCGATATTCGAAGTGTATACTATGAATCATGTTGTGATAGCGCAGTTAAATAGATTAAATAATTGAATATTTTTATATTTTCTGTTTAGATAAATATTCGACAAATAATAAATCTAAATATTCATTTATATGTGACAATGTTAATGTACTGTCTTCGCGTAGAATTTGGTTCTCAAAATATCTATAATGAATAAATGTGAAAGCCATGACGCCATTGACTGTAAATATTAATTAATTCTTAATTATTTATTAATTCGTTATTTATTATATCTGTTTCCTAAACTTTTAATAATACATTATTATAATAGTTTTATTTCTCAAAGAATTTTCTATGGGCTTACCCGAATACACAAATCGATATTCGAGTTACATTTGAAGTAAGTTCCTGTTATCGAAAAGAATTTCTTATAATTGCTGATATTACAACTAGTTTGTAATAAATTATCAGCCCACTCAAATTCAGTCATATATAATAATACTTGTAGTGAAATTGGAATGTATTATAAATCATCTTGAGTAACTTATTTCATCTATTAAAAAACACAACAATTAATGGATTTAAGAAGGTGATATGATTAAATTTTTGATCTATTATATGCTCTGTTTTTCAAGATACACTGTACTCTTCTTATGACAGAGATCAATTTTATAAATAGAAATTAATATTCGAAGATAAATAATTTGATAGACACATATAACGAAGTTTTTAAAAATATAAAAATTCATTACTGATTTTCATTTAGTCCAACATACTTTTACGAACAAAATGTCACTGGGTAATACTACCCAGTAAATGTTCAGATTTAATAACTGATTCTAAAAACGAGCCACACCTGTTCAATGACAGCAACTGATATAGTAAGAAGTTAAAATATTGTTATAGAAATAATATCTAATTATGAACAACCGAATATAGAAGCACTAGAATGGCTTACATTTCTATCATCACTAGAGAGAGAATTGCTTTCCTTTCTTTGGAGTTGCTTAATTCTTTCTTGGTAAAAAAAACTGAACGTGTTACTTTTTGTATGCTTCCAAAAAATACTATCACAAAGAGCTCTGATCTTACTACAATATCAGTATAATCTTTCTCCTCGAGATAAATAAATGAACATCTTCACTATTATAAGAATTAAGTTAAGTTAGGTTGGAGTGGTATCACTCTACCGTGGATCATTGTGTTACCAGAAATAAGACGTTAACTGTACGCCAGACATGAAGCACCACATTAAAGACAGAAGCCCCAAATATCTTTTGCACGAACTGTATCATTTTGAAAAGACATAACTTCTACATTAAATAGAAGAGAACCAGCCTGACAAGTCTATAAACTTGGCCATGTGATTAAGTGTAAGGAATGATTGCTCAGTCTGTACAGTTAAAAAAGTTTCCTCAAAAACATAAATCTTCTCATAGCCATAGTTTCCTATTCCTCTACAAAACCACAATTTCCACAAAAGTCGTTAAAGTCTTATTAAATGCAATACTAATATGCAATAATATATTTGCACCAATACTATAGTATTAAGTTGGTTCCACTTAAGTTAAAGCAGCTGAAGGATTCGAATTTTATTCACTGAGGACCAAGTGAGTCTTTTGATTTGACAAGTATGTTCATCTACTTGTCAATTTTCCTTGCTAACCCATCTAAATTGCATTGCAAAAGTAATGTTTTTATCATGGTATTTATTAAGAGTCTATTACAAATCAAAACTATAAGAGTCCAAAGAGACGTATTTCGTCGACAGAGATATTAAGCGCAGCCCTGTAGGAAACCTTGTTGTGGTCTAAAAGAATATGTCCGTACGGAGGGCGAAAAGCCGTAATAAGTCGATTATGGGCGACCTCAATAATGATATTTTCGTTGTGGATCGATGTATTCATGGAGCCAAGAAAGCAATCGACATATGCAACGAGATGGGTTGGCTCACTTCATTGTAGTGCTATTTCGATGCCCTGGTGCGTTTGTAGTCTACACCTACATTGTGATCTGACTATCAAACTTGTCGAAGATATTATAGTTTATGAACTTAAAGTAACATATAAATAAAAAGTCTATAACTCGTCTAACAGTCTTTAACGCACTAAACTGTACGGGTTTAGTAATATGTCCTCTGGTAAAAATGTTTGTTGATTAAAAATAACTAACTGTATTATTAGCATTATATCTATATTAGTCTTAAGATTACTAAGAATAATACAGTGTGTCAATTAAACAAACTGAGATCAATAACCTGATTAAGGATGTGATTCCACCACTATTAAAGGTATTTTAAAATATATCACACTTCTAGTATTATATCTAAATATTGACGAGTAACATAAGTTCATGATAAACAAAATGTAATTCTGTAAAAATTTAAATTAGTGAAAATCATTACTTATATTTCCATGTATGACCCTATTTCAATGATGTACCAGCACTGCTTTTTCTTGTTTTTATATCTTATTCATATGCCCAGTTAACTCTTCAAACTGTGTCTGGAGAAGAACGTCTATGTATTGTACTTTAAATGTTATTCGAAAATCTGTTTTTTGTGTGCTGATAGAATTTACCACCATTTGCAACATTACTTATATTCGCTTAATTATTGCCATATCATTTTCAAACATTTGTTTTCAACATACATATGCTTACATTTCGGTCTAATTAATAAATAAGACGAATATATTTGCGGTTTCTCGACTCTATGCGAGAGTAATATTTTCTTAACTCTGTTTACAATTTGTTATGTTGTATATATAAGTTATATATTACATTTATTTATCCTTTTTTTATTATTTACTAAACTATTATTTAAAAATTTCGCTATTTACGTCCAGCGACCAAACATTATTTAGTATTTATAAACATAATAAATATAACTAAGTAAATTAGAACAACTATTTGTGTGGCACTATTGACGTACATTATTTTCTAAGGCTACTTCACCGTCCATTGTTTGTTGTAATAACTCAGCATCGATATTTTTTAATGCGTTATTGTATTCAGTTATTTCAAGCGCTTCCCACTCTGCTTTGAAGGCTGCTTTTGGATCTTGTGGCATTGTCATAGCAGCACCAGTCATGGCATCAGCTTGAGCCTGCGTCTGATCTGCTTGATTATTTTCACCTAAAACAAGCGTGTAAATGGAACGCAAACCAAACACGTTCAGAAAATACCATGATGCTGAGGACACCCATGCTGCGTCCAGGGAAGCTAATTCAACACCACGTTGCAGCATAGGCTTGAAACGTAATGTCAATGGAAAAGGCACTTTAGTAGTTACAAAACCAGAAAACATCCAATTAATCCAGCCACCAATAACAACCATAGGAAGAACGTTGATAAAATTGCCTTTTACCATATCTGTTAACATGGCGGTTGAATTTTGAGCAACTGGAGCACGTTTCTGAGTTTTGAAGTAGCCCGTTTCTTCGTTGTTAAAGAAGTTTTTTCGCATCGCAAATGAGTGGGCTGTGAGATATTTACCATTTTCTCGCAGTAGTCGTGCTCGAATCATTGCTTGACTATTAAAAAATAAAAATTTTATATTTATTTATGTTGAATATATACTGAAGTTAAAAATTAAATTAAAAATGTACTTACCTGTCTTGAATTTGGGTAATTTCTGCCTTTTTCTGTGTTGAGATTAGTATGGACACATAATGACGGACGACCCCAACAAAAAATGTTATTAGCACAATCGGTAAAAATACCCAGACGCGTATAGCCGGGTCAATTAATAATTCTGTCATTGCTTAATGTATTTGAATTCAAGTTTAATTTATTATTAATAAAATTAATTAAGAACAATTAACGAAACAGAAAGAAAATATTTATTATTGCCCTACTTGTACACGTTAGGGTAACCTGTCAAAAGTGCAACTATTCACAATAGTCCTTCACTCAATATATGCAAAATGTTTATCAAAATTGTATTGTCATGCGAAGTAAGTACTATTGAAGAGGACACATTAGACCAAGGGCGTAGATATTTAAATGTGCAACTATTTATTTATCAAATTACTGCAACTTAGCATATTTCTGTTTTATCTATCAATAGCTATGTAAAAGCTTCATATGACTCAGCTTCATATTGACAACATAACAGCAAGTTTTTATTCTTTCCACCTTATATGCGCTTCTAAGAAAAATCGGAATTTTAAGTTATAGTTTGACAATGTTAACTGCGTTTTAGTAAATAGTGCTTTAACAAACTAATAATATAAAACAATACCAATGCTGTACACTAGAAATTTAATAAATTCACATTTTTGTGGAATGTGGATTGTGTGTACAAAATAAAAGTTGAAGAATTTCTAAGTAATTGCTTAATATTTGTATCACGTTTTATAAAATTTCTCTAACGCTTACGTCGAAAACTAAAATTTAATTAATTCTTTCGTTTACCACTATTTGTGCTTCGGCATTAAAAATCAAATATCTTAACACATTTCTTAAACAGTTGAACAACTCGCGTTGCCAATAACTTTCATTTATGACCCGTACCACTTCAGCAAAAGAAAAATCAGATCAGTATATGTTAAAACGCAGCTTTTTTTGACTTTGGGGGAGATATATAGTTCAATAACAATAATAAAAAAAAATAGCTGTGCTTCACCTGGCTTACGAACATTCAAGTTCAATGTGGAACGCAAGCAAAATAAAAGTGCAATATAATTGATTAAAATTTTGTTGTAATTGTGGGAATAATTTTGGTTTTAAAAGAATAATTAAAAAAATTTTATGTATAAAAAATCTAAAATATAAAATATGCTGAAATGTTTGAATTATTAAATGTAGGTTTTTGTTTATTATTTACTTTTAAACTTTACTTAAATTCTATAGTAAATAAATGAAAATAGCAGATTTGAATAGAATCATCCAGCGGCTGTGAAACTAACTTTTCTACTCCGTTTTTAAACACTAGTTGAAGTGTAATAAGCTCAGGGGATGAAGTGTGTCGGCATTAAAATATTGGGAATTTTATAATTCAAATTTGCGTAATAATTATTGATTTAAAAAAAAGCCCCACTTTTTTCACCAAACTCTATGTTTTCACTTATTTTGTTTAAATTTTTTGTTACACAGTATTACATTGCTAAAAGCACATTGCATTAAATACGTTCTACTTTTATTTTGTACACACATTCCACATTGAACCAGATCAATTGCTGATTCACCTAATTGTTATTGTTTTGCATATAAATTGAGCGGATCATGTTTGCTGAAACGCAACTACTGTTTTCTATTTCTCGTTTTAATTGCGATTCTGAGAGAGAAAATACGATTTTATTTTAAGCTTAACTTAATTTTTACTTAAAAAGTAATCACTATTAAGCACATATAATTGACCATTTAATTTGTCCTCCTATGCTATCATTAGAATTGTTACAAATTATGTAGCAACTCCTCAATTTCAAGCCCAATATCATTCTGGTTTAAATCTACGGACGTAGCCGTTACTAGTATCTATCAATTATTGGTAGTCTTATCTGACCGCAGTCTTGCTGCTAAATCAGCTGTATCGCCAAACACTGCTCTATTTCTTGTCTTAATTGTATACTTGTTTTTAGCTTAGATAAATATAATTTGTAAAATATTAAGTCTATTAACCTAACTTTTTTAGCATTGATTGCTGGAATAGAATATTATCGATTGATATTTTACTCATCCAGAACAGAAATCTTCTGCACAGTTCATTACTTATAGGTGGTTTTAGAGAATTATAGCCGGACACTGGTTTTGATGTTTTCCAAAAACTGCAAAAAAATCTTAATCAATGTTTGTAGTCTATTGAGTCATGCTTGCTACCGAGCTGAACACCGATTTTTGTTGTTTATGCGGAACTTAACATTTTCCAGTAGGTGTAAAACATCGAAAGCCAGAGTGTGAGACTTGAACCCATAAGAAACATCACTTAGAAATGCAAAATAAAGAAATTTCAGTAACTTCAGTTCAAGAGCTGAAATCACATTCTAGTGTTTAAGATGAGACAGGCATTAGTATACAGAAGACATAACATTTAGAACAGAACTTAACTTTTAAGTTTAATTTTGTGCAAAATAAACTTTTAAATATGGCAGCACTTAAGTTTATTATTGTATGAAACGAAACGTTTCATAATTTCATGGATTCCAGTAATTGTTTGCCGCATCTTTGTTGACAGACTGTGCCCTTCATCAAGCTTCGGTTGTAATATACATTTATTGTATTTATATATTTATTATATTTATTGAGGAAAGTACAGTATAAGTGTTAATATATTTTATTTTCAAAGTAGTTTCATTTTTATTTGATATATTCGTTAATATAAAAATTTAAGATGAAGGGCAAGGGTAAATGTAAGGGTAACGTACTCAACTCTTTTACAATAAATGCTCTTGTTCAAAGTTTGTTATATTTTAGTGGAAAAAGTGGAAGATGGACCATCGACTAGTGCCGTAGCAAATGCAGCTCAACCCAAAAAACGTGCGGATATGAACACATTGCCCACACGCCAATATTTGGATCAAACACTCGCACCTATTTTATTGAAAGGTTTGCAGACTGTGTCGCGTGAACGTCCGGCAGATCCAATTGGGTATTTGGCTGATTTTTTGAATAAGCATCGACGCACTGAGGAACCCGTGGCTGAGACTGTTTAGTTATTTAATTTAAAAAAATGTTAATATACACAATAGTTAAGTTTTTCAATTATATTTTTTTTTAAATATATATCTGAATAGTTTTTATTATTAGTGAAAACTTTTTTAGCAAAAACTAGCAATACATACGGGCACGATTACGATTTCCTTGTTAATAGCTTTTTGCAAATTTGATCAACGTTTTCCATTGCACTACATATCCATAAAGCTTGGACATATCAAGCTTTGAAGTTATGCCACCTTGCGGTGATTTGGATATGGAGTTCTACTACTGAGTACTGATTACGCAAACAACGATAAACAAGTGGATGCGCCCTAAAGGAAATTGTTGCTCACAATTATTGCCAAATTTCAATACTCGGAATTAGTAATCTTGCCCGTGCAAATGCAAAACATCTTATATAAAATTGAATGAAGAGGTTAAATATTTAATAAATTGCACGATTTAATGCAAAATACATTAATTTATTTTTAATGTAATTATTTTATTTTAAATAAAATAATCTTTTAACAAATTAAAACTTAAACAATAATTTATGTTAGATATAAGTGTTTAATCTTCCATTTCTGATTCAACTACTCCGAACATGCCCGCTATTATGTAGCCGTAATTTATTGCGTTAGATTCTGTTAGCTCATGCGGAGGTATTATTAACCCTCCATCAGCTTGATAAATATAAGGAAGTCGTAGTACCCAATAGGCACTTTGAGTTAGTTTTGGCGGACGTGGTAAGCCGAGCGTAAATGTGCGTTCACAATCTCCAGCCTTTACCTGAAATTTAGATTTGTATTTATAAAAAATGTTTAATTAGTTTAAAAAAAAAATTAGTAATTTAAAAAAAAAACAAATGGAAATAAATAATATGCTTTACATTTTTGTCACTAAACTGTCCTAATCCTAATATAAATAAAATATACTCGTTAATAATGAAAATGATCATTTTCATACTTCATAATTTTATACTCGTTATGTTAAAAGTATATTTACCTAGTTAAGTTATAAATACCGTATGGCATTACTAGCTCTGTAAAATATAATAAAGTAAACTAATCATCCAATCATACGGTGTCCAAGGTTTTTAACGTGATTACCTACTATTAAGATTCAACACCGCAATGTCCCTAACACACGTACCAAAATAAGTTAACGACAAATATTCCCTTTTGGAATCCAATCTAATACCTCTACTGTACTTTGGGGTACAGCATCCGGTTAGAGAATACAACTCCATATCGAAATAAAATAATGAAAACACTCATTCTACCTGTGTATATTTCCGTTTTAACCACAACCACCAGAATACTCCAATTAAAGGGATCCATCTCCATTAGTCAATACAGCTAAAGCTGTGGGCCCTGATTTGCGTGATACCAGATTTACACCTCGTCGGATGCCGTAAGTAAAACTCACTACCATTTATACTCCAATAATTTTTGGGTGTTGCCTACTAGATTTCATTCACCTTATACTACAGACAAGTTTTACTTTGAGAATACTCTAACTTCCCTGCCGCATGGGGCATCCGACCATATAGCGAAAATTGCCCGAATCAATCATTATAATCAATGATAACAGCAATTTTTATGTTTACATTAAAATTAATTTACGCGAAAATCAAATCATCACCTCAGTAATAAATAATCATTTAGCTTTAGTACGTAAAGCTTTTACTAGTTAAAATAACATAGTTATGACTGGCTATCCATGTCGACTGTAACTAATCTCTCTCAACTTCCAGGAGAAGACAAAGACATTATGGACATTCAAAAATCATTGAATTTTTAACAGTTCCATTTGATTGAAATCATATATATGGTACAAACAAATAATATCTAAAGTCTTAGCTATATTACATTCAAATCAGTTCAGTTTTTTACAAAATCCTCATTTATGATTATATCTCAAATATAAGTTCTAATACAAAAAACTATATCTCCCCAAAAAATTTATTGTTTTGTCTGTTGATATTTTTTCTCCACATTTTGAGATGATATGTCAACAATTAATCAAAAGATATGGAAGCGTTAAATCACTTCATAACGTCAAGCTTATAATCCAACCCATCCCCTAGTCTATTCTTAAATCCCTAAACAATTCCATCCGCTCTCACACTACCATCACGACTACAATAACAACAACAATATTGATGTTTTTGTTTAAGTAATTTTTAAAATCATACAAACCTTTGGATCCAGCATAACATCAACAGGTGCTTTAGGTGTTACTACATGAATTCGCATAAGCTGCGCTGCATAAGCATGACTTGTACGACATGGACAAGGAAAATAAAGTGGCATATTATTATAAACAACTTTGCTGCCACTATCACGCATTATTTCTAAAAATAAAACAATAGAATTTCATGAGACATAAGAAAAAATTGCCACTTTTACCAGAACCACCGCGTAGTATTTTATCAGGGGCACTCATCATAAAACGATGGCCACGTGGGCATTCATATTCATAGCCGACAAATACTTTTAATATAAAAACTTCACCCATTTTACGAAATCGTTGCCTTTCTGCAGCCCATGACGCTGAATGCTCCAAACGCACATGCACATCCCAGGGTAGTAAGAAATTCGAACCAGATAGAAAACCACTTTGAAAATGTTCCATTAAACCGGTGCTATGACTATATATTGAACTAGAACCAGCACAAACTAATGACCAACTTGGAAATTGAGGTAAAACGCCTTCTGGACTTTCGGTATGTATCATGCCAGATAGATATTCCGTTGTCGATGGTTGTCTGCATATACTACGCTCATTCTCTTCATCAGTTGATTTATCTCCAACTTTTAATACCAATTCATTTAGTGATTCTTCAGAACTATTTAAACCACTACTGTCAGACTTCATTTTCAATGAATTGTCAGTCAAACTAAGTCTTACATGTGACCCTTGAGATGCTGTTAACGGCTGTGACAACTCAAATATATTCATGGTTTCGTTTGTTTTTTGAGAGAGTGTTAGGTGCATTGGTTCCGTGGCCTTTCCTTCAGTTAGTGTGAGTTTGGGAAATTCTCCTTCGGTATTGTATTTATAATCAGCGGGTCTTTAATAAATAATATATACAAAAAATATTTTTGTTATTAAAAGACACAAAAGTTAATAAAATTAAAAAAGGAAAAATATGCGCACATATAGAAATGATTAGGATTAAATGATGTTCACACATGTACCTAGTTAAAATCGTGATAATTCTGTTTCGTTGTTTTTTATACCTTATAAAAAAAATTAATTAATTTACTATTTTTAGTATTTATGTTGTATATATACATATATATAATAAAAGAAATTTATATTATATAAAATATTTATATTTTATATGTATCGATATATGCCATATATCGATTATGTATTTAAATTAATTATTATTTGGATTTAATACTTTAAATTAAATTAAATTAAATTTTCTTTTTCTTGTTTTTTTTGAAAATTTAATCATTTAAATAATTTTTTAATTATTGACTAATATCACTTACTTAGAATGGATGCAGACAACACAGATTGAAATTCGATTTTGGATTATTTGAAACAGAATAAAAAAAATACCTCAGTATGAACTGGGCTTACAAAGATCATTATATTGGGTTGCTCGGAAAGTACTTTTGTTTTTTTTTGTATGAAAATAAAAACAATTTTTTTTTTATAATGTACAAATATATTAATAAATTATAGATTCTCCATTATGGTCCAATATCTTTTGTCTTTTTTCATAAAATATCTAATAAAAAAACCTATTTTAAGTAAATTTTTTAGCCATCTAAAAAGTTTTGTAGAATTTTTGACCAGTTCCCAGCCTTATATTTATCTTACATTAGTTTAATAAGATATTTTCTACACACTTTTCCTCTTTTTTAATATAACAAGTATTAGGAGAAACGATAACTGAATTCTACATTCAGTTATTTGAATAGACGGGTGGGTCCGGCTAATAGATCCGGCGGCCCGTGGCTTCTGAAATCAGTTTGGGCTTTTTGTCACTTGCCAACCTTGTATTATATCTTACATTAGTTTAATAAGATATTTTGTATACATTTTTTCCTGTTTTTTAATATAACAAGTATTAGGAGAAACGATAACTGGATTCTACATTCAGTTGTCTGAATAGACCGGTGGCTCCGGCTAATAGATCCGGCGGCCCGTGGCTCCTGAAATCAGCTTGGGGTTTTTGTCACTTGCCAACTTTGTATTATATCTTACATTAGTTTGATAAGATATTGTGTATATATTTTTTCCTGTTTTTTAATATAACAAGTATTAGGAGAAGCGATAACTGAATTCTACATTCAGTTATCTGAATAGACGGGTGACTCCGGCTAATAGATCCGGCGGCCCGTGGCTCCTGAAATCAGCTTGGGCTTTTTGTCACTTCCCTACCTTATAATACAAGGTAGGAGTATTATAAGGTAGGGAAATTGGAGTACACATGTGTATCTTACATTAGTTTGATAAGATATTTTGTATATATTTTTTCCTGTTTTTTAATATAACAAGTATTAGGAGAAACGATAACTGGATTCTACATTCAGTTGTCTGAATAGACGGGTGGCTCCGGCTAATAGATCCGGCGGTCCGTGGCTCCTGAAATCAGCTTGGGGTTTTTGTCACTTGCCAACTTTGTATTATATCTTACATTAGTTTGATAAGATATTTTGTATATATTTTTTCCTGTTTTGTAATATAACAAGTATTAGGAGAAGCGAGCGGAGTTCAGTCATCTGTATAGACGGGTGGCTCCGGCTAATAGATCCGAAAGACCGTGGTTCCTGAAATCCGTTTGGGCTTTTTTATTCAAGTAAATAATTCAATTTGTCTAGATGATAAAAAATACGTTTTAAATATTACTGTAGTATTATCCGATAGAGGCTTAAAAAAAATGCTCTTAACAGAACTCAAAACAATGATAAATAGCATCTACTTTGATGATATTTTTTTTAATGGCGAATATAATTATTTGAACTAACTCCAGATAGAAGAATCTTGCCGCGTTAATAGGGCGAAGCCATGCATCAGTAGGTCTCAAATTTTTGTAAGTTAATCGATATTTCGTCTCTAATACTGATTCGCTTTAAAACTGTTTTATTATCTTAATAATTGAAATGAAAATTATTGACTATAATACAATGCAGCTAATTTTGTTACTGTCCATCGCAATCCATGCATTCGTCGTGTAATTCCTTCAAGATATTGCTTTTCAAATCCCCACAGGTAACAACAAGAACAATTAAGTGCCGTTTAGCACTTCTAAAAGGGAGAACATAAGCAGATCTCTAAAGGCTACAACCACATATTAGTTGTCAAAATTTGTTATGAAAATGTGGCTTAAAGGTGAGATTAGGAATGGAAAAATACGTTAAAGTACTCTGTTAGTAAAAAAACAAAACCAGTCTCCGGGCAACCCAATATTCTTCAGTCAAGTTTTTATTTCCCGCACATCTCAAATTTAAATGGAATCGCAGACTACAATTTTTAACAAAACTTAAAAAGAAAAAATGATTTAATAAAAAAAAAACAGCACACAATCAAGCATGAAACAGAAATGCTGCTTTTTATTGTAAATACCTGAAATCATGTACAGATGGTTCGAACACAGGAAAAGCTATACGTTTCACTTTAAAGCACAAATTGCAATTATTCCCAAGAAACTCGTAATAATCGTAGTTAGCTTGTCGCAATGTATATGGATCGTCACGACGTCCTTGCGTATGCCCACAATTACACGATGAGATAAATATAAAACCGCTGGAATGCTCTGATATATTTGCGTTTGCATGCTTTGCCATTATGCAGGGATTGCCACGTAAGCTCGGATGTTCGCATTGTTGCTTTCCGTTGTGCCAACATTTCTCGCATTGCATACGCAATTTTTCAATATGAACTTCTGCGTTCGGGCCGCATGCGTAACGCATATACAAATCAATGGCCTCCTGTACCTAATTTAGTACAAATATAAAATAGAATAAAAGATTTATTCTTAATACTTATTATTTATTATTAATGTTTTTGATAAGTATCTAACAAATTATGTTAAGCAAAGTATGTACTCACCATTTTATTATGTACCGAACTGCTGTAGTGTAATAAGGTAGGATTGTTATAAAAGTTATATGCTTTCTTATAACCAATATCACAACAAGTTGCGAAAAATCTGTAAAATATTTAAAAATGTTCTAAATATCAAAATCTGTAGTGAGATTTAAACATTTTGCCTTACTCAGCATCACAATCTATAATTTTGTCAAAGTTCTCCAAATAGGCTCTCTGTAAGATACATGAATTTATATATGCAATAATAAATAAAGTATAAAATCGATGTTTTAATTTATAATACAATTCCAAGCAGCACTTGTGCTTTTTATACGACAATACTTACAAATTTATAAAACATACATATATACAAAAGTGAAACTTTATGAAAATTTTGCAATAAAATGTCTTGATTAACAATATCACCTATTCAGCAGGGAGCGAAAATAATAGTTTTTATTAAAATTATAACTTATTTTTATTATTAGTAGTTTTATAACAGAACTGTCAATAATCGGCACTGAGCGGAACTAGTTCTAAACCGGAACAATTGACAACCAAAGCAATAACTGAATCATTATGGCTTTTCAAATTCTTTCTGAAACAACCGGTGCGGAGACTAAAGATTTTGGAACCGAATCAGTGGTTTAAAATATCGAACCACCGAACCGAATCACTATAAACCAACCACTAAAATGAATCAATGTAATGAAAATAGGTGAAATCTCTCAATTCCACCTAATTCCATCACACAATTTTCTTTTATTTCTTTTGCGTATGTCTTGTCAAGTTTTTGTTGTAGCCCGCAAGAATCTGCGTATGTAGTTTCTTTTGGAAGTGCTCACCGATTCGGTCGTTGAACTTAATTATAATTTCCCCCTTTCCCACTACCCTTAACCAATAATCAACTACCCACATCTTAAATCAAAAAAAGTCAAGCATATAAGCATATTCTTTTAGGACTTCTGCTGTTAAAAAGGAGCGGCGCTAAGTAGTCTAAAAGGACGAGTTGCTCTGGGACGTAGACCCCGCGACTCCTGAATAAAATATCATAAATTGAACATGTACACTTTGAGGTCTTAATGATTTCAGGCATATAATAGTGTACATAAGTATCATAAGTATAAGTAGAACTTCCTAATAGCTGCAGTGTTAAACCATTCGTTAGAACGAATTTCATGAATTTTTAAAATAGGACTCAATGATAACACTAGTCTTTATGCATTTTAAGATTATTATTTTGTTATATAAACATGAGATAATATTTGAGAAATAAAATTGTAGTTATTTTACGTTAAGAAGTCTGTGATTAATAATGCAAGGATCTACTTCAATGGACTGCTTAAAAATCTTCAAATAGGAAGAAAAAAATTTTCTACTAAAGCAACACTACAACAAACCATAACGAGAATAAACGTATTAGACCAAGTTTGTATTAATTATTTACTTACATAATCTGCATCTTTGGCATCGAATTCAGGATCATCTGGATTTTCAATAAATATTTTATGATATATCTTAAATGTTTCATACCAGCTTTTGAAATGTAATATCTAAAAGTAAAAAGAAAATATATTGTGTTAACATAACATAAGCCTTTTCAGAAAACTTCTTTACCATATAAAAGATTTAGTATTAAAAAATATATAATATTATTATCATATATTTAATTATGGGAGTTAAATAAAACATTTTTATTTATATATTCGTGGGTCTTTGATAATTGCAGGACAAAAAATACAAAATAAATTATTAAATTTATTATTATTGTTTAAATACCATTCTTTGTTGTATATGCCAATATAAATAATGCTTTAAAGCAATATATTAAATAAATAAACAAAATAAAAATAAATTAATCAATATAATGATTTACCACAAAATGATTTCTTCCTTTATATTTGCTTGAATTATCATCAAATCCATATTGAAAGGCTTCGTCTTCGTGATCCTTAATTAATTTTTCAAAATTATGATTCATCAAAAAGATAGCATTAACGGATTCATTATAATTACTACGCATTGGTGGAAAAGATCTTGCGAATCCCTTGAATGTTAAAAATATTTTAAAACTTAAATAAAAAATTTTCATTTAATTCAATTAATATTTACCGGATGAGGGCGTAGTTTACTAAAGCAATACTCTTTGTACTCATTGAAATTTCTTACGTTTGCGACATTTTTAAGTATTTCACCTGATCTTATTATGGGATCTATGTGTAGACGTGGATCAGTATTAAAGTATACAAAACGCTGATTAATAGGTATCGCAAACAATGACATGGCACTAAAAATATTAGATGTTTAAATTATAATTTAGAGAAATATTGTTATACAAAATATACAGACTTATTATTCGTCACAATAAATTCATTGCGTAGCATTTTATAAATATAATTTTCAAATTCGAATTCTAAACCATTTATTGCTTCTTTGGATAATTCTATAAAAAAAAGCCCATTTTACATAAGAAATAAATAATTATTTCAACAATTCTTTACATACCCTGTCCTTCTGGATAGTTTTCAAAATAAAATATTATTCTTGGAGTACACATACGTGCTGGTTTACCCATAGAAGCCCCAGTGCTGGAGTTTTTTATTAATTTGTGTATAAATTTTAGAAGAAACTTTTCTCTGGAATAAAGTTGTTTTAATAAAACAATTTTTATATTAGTATATATACATAATAATCATTAAAGTTACATGTGTGTGTTGGATCATATTATTAATCTAAGTTTAAAATTGATATTGATAAGTAGTGTGTGTTTAGTTTCAGGGGTCTTTTTTGTATTTTCAAACTTGTTGAGTAATAACTTATCAAAATCAATAGTAAAAGTAATAATTATATATTAACGGCTAAAATGCCATAGCTATAAGCTTTATATATATAATATAATTGTTATTAATTTCTATGTAATACAACAAATTTAAAATGAAGTAAAATAGAGCAAAAAATACATATATAATAAACTCACCTAATTATTTTTAAAGATTTGAATATAGGAAGTAATGAGCAGTCGAAGTTCATACCCGACTCTACAAAAATGATAAGATGGCATACTTGTGTGGCAAACAGAAACATACGTGCAAAACGACTTCTTACACGTTGACTGAATGTCAAAAACTCATCGTATTTTTCATCGGCCAAACTTGCGTCCAGCATTTTGTACATGCATTCATTGTCAAATGATGTCTCAAAATGTAAATAAAGTATTGAGCTCTTGCGATTATAATAAAATTGTATTTGCCCCTATAACATTTATAATTTTCGATATTTGAATGAAATAATAAAATTGAAGAAACAAACCTCTTTTGGTGGATGGTCTATGAAAATAGGGTAACTGTTCAGAACACCGAGTGGGACCATTTTATTACAATCTGGTCTATTTGACTTTCCAATAACTCCAATTATTAACAAACGCTTATCGTCTGCCTGAAGTTGTTCCCTAAAATAAATAATTTCAATTTCGTTTTTATATAAATACTTAACACAACATACCCAATTTTAGGCGGTATATTTGGATACGTCCAAAAATCAAATTTAGCCATTTTTATTAACTTATTTTATTTAAAAATAATATTAAAAATTTAAATCATTAAGCAGCATCCAATAAACAAATTGAATTGTGAACAGCTGTTTGAAGCACTCTTCTTTATTTATCTCTAACCATTCACAATAATAACCAATTCTATTCTAGAGCAATCAATAACTTTGTGATTTAAAAACTATTTAATTATATTGATATTGATTAGTATTAAACTTTCAAAAATTTTAATTTGATAACTAAAAAACATTGCTTACTTTAAAAAATATTCTACTATAATAACAAAAAACAAAGTATATGAACATCAAATTAAGACATGAATAATAACAATTTGAATTGATGGAGATTGTTAAAACCTATCCATACGACATAAAAAAAAATAACTTCGTTAATTGCTCTAGGCGTAGAACTAGTTTCTTGCAGAAGTGGAGTGGAAGAGGATACAATTACACTCCTCTAATTTAATTTCATGTGTAATAAATTTAATATTATTAAAAATTGAATGAAAATATATAAATTTTTTTTAATGAAATACATCTTTTAAAAGCGGATCATTTTCATTTATTTAGACCGTGTGCGAGTTCGAGTAAATTGAGGAAAATAGTAAATTATGTCGGTATCGTAGCAAACGTTGATATTTACCAGAATTTCGAGTAGAATAAATTAGATAAAAATTAGGTGTTACCATTGTGACAATTTTATGAGATGTTTAATAAATACATTTGAAAACTTTTGAACAAAAATAATAAATAAGTACAATAAATAAATAAATAAATACTTACATAACTGCAGTGTAAAAAATCCCTAGGAAATTTTAATTTACTTTACCTCAATTTACTGGAATCGCACATGGCTTAAATTCTTTTATGAAATTTTATGCAAACCGCAATCATATATTTATTTTAAATAGTGTCCACAAAATGGCTACTGTCCATACAGCTGGTTGGAAATTACTATCCACACATATACTTAAGTGGTGGTTGTTTGTTATTGATCGAGAAAAAATATATGAAAATAAAATAGTAGGAATTGTTGTTTGATTTAGAAAATAATTTTCTTCAAGTTGTGCAAATAAAAATTATTAGAATAAATTCAAAATATATATAATTTGATAATATGGGATGTGATGGAGGTACCATACCAAGGCGTGATGAATTAGTGCGCACAAAGAAAAAACCAGAACAGGTAAGCCCATTAATTATTCTTTTTATGTTATATTTTAATAATCAATAATAATTATTTTTCTTCTAGAAAGATAAAGATGCAGAACGTGAATTTCGTTGGTTACATTGTGCTATTTCACAACAACGTCTGCACGAACCAGTCGTAATGTGTGGTTTGGGACGTCTGTATCTAAAAGAAGCTGTAATCGAAGCACTATTGGATAAGGCGAATTTGCCTGATTCAGTACAACATATTAAAAGCTTAAGAGATATTCAAACGCTTGAACTGACTCCCAATCCTACATATGTTGATGAACCTAAGACAGGTTCAGTAGATGTCCAGCGTGCACCGTTCATATGCAAGTTAAGTGGTAGGGAAATGTCTGGAAACTACCGATTTGTTGCTTTGTGGAACTGCGGCTGTGCTATGGCGGAACGTTCCCTTAAAAAAGTAAAGAATTCATCGTCAACTTGTCCATTATGTCAAACACCATTTGGTATTGAAGATATAATCGTTTTAAATGGCAATGAGGAAGATGTTGAGCTTATGCAAGCAAAAATGGAGATGCGTAATAGAAAACGTAAATTATTAAAAAAAGATAAAAAGAAAATTAAAACCGAAGAAGCCGTAGCTAATACACCACCGAATAATGTTGAAAAAATCGATAAAACTCCACTGAGCACTCCTTCCACTAGTAAAGCCACTATTTTTACTACAACGACTTCACTTAATGGAAATGGTGAAAGCAACAAAGGCAGTCCTGCGCAGAATCTGAAACGATCAACACCAAAAGCAGCTGAGGGCAAACAAAGCTTAGAGGATCCGGATATAAAACGTTTAAAAACAAATTATAGTGTTTCAAGGGATCCCAATGCCACCGATGTGTATAAATCGTTATTTACTACACACAAGACTGAGAAGGATCAGACTCGTGCACATTGGGTGACTTATAATCCATTTTATAACTGAAACTTTAATTATAATTTCCATTATAAATTTTACATAAATCTATATTTTTCTTTATCTTGCTAATTAATTTTTTTTTCCTCTAATTTGAACAATAAATTATATAAATGTTTATTATTAACATTGAATACTATCTTTTTTTTTTAATTTGTAAATGTTTTAATTATGATAAATCATACACTGATTTATATATTGATCGTCATTAAACTCAGCTCACAGGATGATACGTTTGTGTTGTTGTATAGATTTGAACAGACGACGTAAGTTTATATCAAGAATATTTCATTGATGTGAAGGTGCGGAAGCAAGAGATTGTATTAAGTTTAATAATAACCTTAATATGTCAAAATTAACTCAGGCACTGCACTCCAGAGATAGCACAATTGATCTCATAGGCCGCAGTGCACCATTGTTCATTGTAATAATAATAATTAAACATTGGGAATACAGGAGGTAATGCGATAATATAAGTTACCAGCTAGAGGTTGTTCGCATTTGGAATTGTAATTAAAAACCGGGGAAGTGCGAATGTGTTTGTGACTTCACTTTATAAACTATTGTGTTTATTATAAAAGTAATAAATATGAAAATATTTCTTATCTTAAAGATATTAAATCCTTTTTTATTACGATATCTATTGGTGTTGTTAGACCTTGGAGAGAACTATTAAACAGTTAACATGAAAGGAATACATGGGTTAGGATTTGGATAGGTGATGGCAGTGTGAGGGGGCAGAGAATTATTTCGGACTAAAAACAGATTGTGAAGGGGTGACATTTAAATTAAAGGCAACCAGGATCAACAGGACAATGGCAGTGTGAGATGAGAGGGGATTTTTTCGGATTAAGAATGGATTGCGGAGGAGTGACATTTAAATTGAATTCAACCAGGATCAAGGCGGAGGCACCTGATTGGACTAAAGTTAGTGTGTATATTGAAGCCTAATGCAATACCTAAAATAATACAGCGGTGTAGATGTATTGTTTTGTCGCTTTAGAGACATTACCTGTCTATCCATGCTCATTGAGGGTTTACATTAAATATCGCGAACTTACATAAATTTTTTTAAATAAATTTGTATTTTAAAATTTTAAAGATTTAAAGCATTGGTAACGTTAAAAAAAGCAGTACTATTTGGAGATTAGTTAAGACAAAGAAACAATCTTGAGTTGTCCACTTAATAGGGTTTCAACCGAGTTGTAGTTTACCACTGTTTTTTTGCGACAGTTTATATGAGTAGGGATCTACAAGTATCTACCCCAATCACTGACAAATTATAATTTTAATGTCACCGCCTTAATTGTATTTGTTAGAAGTTTTTTTTAGTGCAATGATGACTTCCATCTGGCATTTTTATTGGCACGCATACTTTTTATTGCACTTTACACTTGAAGATCTTTAAGTGTTGAACTTCCTGCTGCACTAAAGCTATTTATTATTAAAATCCACACAATAGATAGATGTACTTATTTCAAACTCGAAGATACCTATTAGGGTCAGAGAATTGGCATCATGATCACCAGATAAAAATAAACATCTATAATTCTCATCAGGGGATATCAACAGTGGCGGTGTTGTATCTAGATAGCTAAATATGTTTTGCTAAATTAGTCCAGTGTGATTGTCTGTAAGGGAATAGTCTTGATGCTTGCTGCTCCGGAACCATTCAGTGGCTTAGCAAAGGGAAATTCCTCTTCATTTATTTTAGGTAGAAGTAGAGAAACGGAAGCAATAGTGAGACAATTTACCAGGGCCAACGCAATCACCCTACAAAACTGGATCTTTAGTTAAATGGTAGTCTTGGTTTTGTAGCATCGTAACAAGCAGATCAAAAAACTAGAAATCTACTTAGGTTGTCATCTTCTATCACATGAATAACGAAAAGTGAGTGAAGCGGGTTCGAAACTACAATTCAGTAAAAAAAAATTAACATAATAGGATCGCTTGTAATACGCGATCCTTGAAACTTATAAAAATAATAATTAGCATAAAGTGTTGTATTAGGAGCTGTTTCGTTGCCCCATTTTTTGGGTCCCTGACCAGAAGTGGTTAGTCATACTTAGTGGTTGCTGCTGAATTTTCATCACATACTTCATTTAAATACGATATGATGTTAAATAAAATTATAGAACAACGGGAATGTAAACGTTTCATTGTCATATCAATCAATAAAATTCAATAATCAATTATAAAATTTTACATAAAATAAATTAACTGAAATGTATTATACAAAATAAACAATACTAAATAAATCATAAATAAACAATACAAAATAAATATAAATTAAATAAATAAATAAAGAATAAGGTATGGTTGTTGTTCTTATTGTTTTTATAATCTGTGAAAACCTATAGGACACAAACGTTGAATTATTGAAAGACGAATATAAACGTTAGGCTAGGATAAAAGGAACAACAGAGGTGAGTCTTTTTGGGGTGAAGAAGGGATTATGGTGCGAATAAGTAATGGGTTGACTATACGCACTGATCCGGCTATCAAAATAAAAAATAATACGAAATGAATAATATCAAACAAAAATACAATGAAACATATAGAAGAAATATAAAATAATCATATAATAATTATAAAAAACCGAAAAACAAAGAAAAAAAAAAAAATAAAACAAACAAAAAAAAAATAAAACAAACAAAAAAAAAAATAAAACAAACAAAAAAGGAATAAAACAAACAAAAAAAAAATAAAACAAACAAAAATGTATAAAATACAACGTAAAAAATATAAATTTAATTCAGAACAAATATGAAGCGATATAAAATAAAATATAAAGCAAATATGAATTAAACATATAAAACAAAATTAAATCAAAACATAAATAACAATAATAATATAGAACATACATAACAAAAACACAATAAAACAAATAAAAAAAAATAATGCAACATACAATTATATATAATAAATAAAAATACAATAAGACAAATAAAAAATAATAATAGTAAAAATAAAACATAAAAAATATACATTTAATTCAGAACAAATATGAAATGATATAAAATAATATAAAATATATAATTAAACATATAAATCAAAACTAAAATAAAACATAAAATATAAAAAAAAAACATAACAAAACTATAATTATATTAATTAAAATTATATAGTTGATAAAAAACAAAAATTATATAAAGCAAAGTAATTAAAATACAATAAAATAACAGATACAAGAAAAAATAAAATAAAAAATAAAAAACTTGAATAAATGAAAACACAATAAACATAAATAAAATAAAATAAATATTTTATATATATTAAATAAAATCAAATATAAAATAAAACATAAAAAGCAAAACTATTATAAAACAAAAATACAATAAAACAAATATATAATAAAGCAAAATACAAGAAGACAAAATTTCAATGAAACATAAAAAAAGATAAAACATAAAATATATAATAATAATAATAAATAACACATAAAATGATATGGTTAATATAAAATAAAATAAACAAAATAAAATAAATAAAAAAAAATAAATAAAACAAAACATATAAAACAAATTAATACAGAATACATATAAAATGATATGGTTAATATAAAATAATTAAAAATAAATAAAAAATTAAATAGAACAAATTAATACAAAACACGTATAAAATATAAAATGATAATATAAAATAAATATAAATATAAAATAAATATAAATATAAAATAAATATAAATATGAAACAAATATAAAATATATAATTGCAATATACATATAAAGAAAATATGAAACCAACATGAAATATAAAAAATAAACAAACATAAAATATAAAAACAAATTATAAAATATATAATAAATACGAAATGAATAACACGTAACGCATTATAACACATAAAATGAAAGTAAAATAAATGCATGATTATTTTGTTTACAATAGTTTTTTATAAACTAACTTATGTTCTGGTCAGTACACACTTATAAAGTACATAGTTGTTAATTATTTATAATAATTCAATACTGATGGGATTAACAATTTTTATAAAATCTTTAAATTTAGTTTAAGTTGTTCTTTAACGATCATTTTTACATTATACAATTATTGTTGAGTATTTAAATTAGAATTGCGGAATTAAATGCAAGCAGGTGCAGCAATCATTATCCTCTTCTTTAATACTGCGTGCTAAATAAATAAAAAATAAAAATTAATTATTTAAATGAAAAAAATAAAGAATCTAATAAATAACCTTTATTTAGAAGTGATAACTTCTTCTTCAGCGGCCACGCTATCATAGTCCATGTTTTGTACTTCATCGAAAGTATAATAGTCACTCATATCATCATTTTCAATTTTTATATGAGGTTCACTGTTAAGGAATTCATCGTAAACTGGTGAATTTTCACATGCAAAAGGTGGATACTCCTCCTGTTCCACTTTAATTTGTGAATTCTCCACTGAGGAGATCATTTGAGCTGCTACCAATTGTGCGTTATAATTATCCGCAGAATCCATTTCAATTGTTTCTTCTTCATCCTCCTCAAAATCATCTAAATCGCCTAACTGCATGACACTGTCATTCTGAGCTTTTTTTTCTACAATGAAATTGGCGGTAACTGCGTCTGGTGGCACTATTTCATTTGGTTGAAATCTGGCTTTTGCTTGTGGTTTTTGGAATATTACTGTGTCTTGATTCTCTATGCTAGCTTTAGATTTCAAAGCTGCCGGATTTCTTACAATTACGCTTTTTTCAGTCTTAATAGGTTTATCAACCGCTGCGGGTTTAGGGAATTTGTCTTCATTTCCACTATTTTGTACTTTACCATCTTTTGCTGTATGAACTATCTTTGGGACAATAACACCTTTTGCTTCCACATTTTCTTTACCAGAATTCGATTTTTGTGCACGAGTTTTTATAGAATCAGAAATTTCATTAGTAGTGCTTTTAGTCGATTCAATATTTTTACTTAACATTTGATTATCATCGGCAATAATTTTATTAACAATCGGTTCCATTATCATGTCCACACCACGATTACCAAGTGTCGCTTTACCTTTTAGAAGATCCTCGTGATTGGTAGCAACATGCAATTCAAACGAACTTATATCCGCAAATGTCTTGCTGCACACAATACAGACGAGAGGAGTTTTTGGTTGAGGAACGGAATGCGTTTCATTACGTGCAACATGACCCTGCATATGTTTATTCAGATATGCTTGTTGACTATAGTTTTTACCACATATATGGCATGGAAATGTTATATACCCTGTGTGCCCCTTCATGTGCACACTGAGACTAGAGGTTTGTGCAAAACTTTTGTTGCAATATTTGCACTTAAACGGTTTTTCTCCTGTATGTATCCTCATATGAATGTTGAGGCTGCCTGGCTGAGTGAAGGAACGTTCACATAAGGAGCACGTGAAAGGTTTTGCACCGGTATGACATTTCATATGTTGTACCAATAATGATGCTGTAGTGAATGAAATCTTACAGATAGCACATTGAAATATAGAAATTTCAGTGTGCAGAAGCATATGCTCATCCAATACTGATTGCTGTTTAAATACTTTGTCACATTTCTCGCAACTGTAAGTGACTTCTCCCTCATGAGTTTTCTGATGCATTATTAGTGCTGCATTATTAAAGAATCCTGAAAATTTAATAAAGTACATTTTTCAATTTTTATATAACTCAAAAAATATATTATCATCTTATTCAAAAATTAAAGCGGACAGAGCAGAAAGGCTACATGTGTTAATTAATTAATTATTTTTTATTTAATTTCTGCATTAACGTTCATCATTGTTTGTTTAATTATAAATTTTTTGGGTATCCAGATACGTTACTTGCAGAAGAGGTTAGTCGACCATTTAGAGAATCAAAAATTATACAGGCATTACTTCAATCAGTTTAAAGAATCGTCTCTGTACGAAAATACATGTACCCTTTCTTCATTAACCGCAACCGCATCAATTTAAAACTAATTTAATAAAAAATAATATAAATATATGTTAAGAATATAAAAACACATAATAAAACAAATATAATGGACATAAATTCTATAAATGTATTAAATAATAGTTTTAAAAATATAAATTAGAAATATTTTTAATAAAAACAGCTTTATCGTCCCGAATCCCGAAAAAGTCCCAAATTTTCATTTAAAAATCTTTATTTTTCTGCTTTTTGTTTCTCTCTCTCTCTATTTGCATATATCACTCAAATTACTGATTGCAGCAGCTCTGAGAGCAAGAATGCTGTGTGAATGCACAGTCGAAAGACTTCTTAAAGTAAGACGTCTTAAATTCGTCATGTGAACAGCATATTATACGTCATATAACTTTCTTTAGCTCTAATGACTTAATTGTTGTCTAATCTAGTCAACATACTATTCGTATAATTATAATAGTTTGCAATGTACGGCAAACAACATTTAGTATTGAAAAAAAAAAATACACTTAATAAAATTATTAGAGAAATATATAATTAAAATAAAATAAAATAAATATTAGCAAAAAAAAAAAAAAACAAAATGAACATCAGTACAAAAATTATACTAATATTAATATTATATCTATATATATTACATTATAAGCTTAAGTTAGTTTGTTAAAAATTGATTAAAATATTTATAGTAGAATAACACAAAATAACATATACTATAATTAGGATAATAAAGACAATATGCTAATAACACAAAAAAAAAATTGAAAGCATTATAGAAACAACCGAGTTTACATCCCAATACTACTTATCTTTCCAGTAGAGCAAGCGAGGCTGAGCACTCCTAACTCATCGAGTTTTCCTAAGGGATCACAACAACATAGCATATATTATTAGTAATTATTATTTCCTAACAATTGGAACTATTACGAAAATAACTAAGCCTCACTGATAAAAAGAAGGTATTGCGTCTTATCGTATTATTACATAGAGATAGTGCGTTTAGCACTTTTCCTTCAACTTTTTGTGAGCACCATTCTGTATCTCACAGATTTTATCGGGTTTTCTTAGGTCTTTTTAGATATTAGATAATGTTATTTTTTTGACGAATAATAAATTTATATTAGTGGCAGTTAGACTAATATCACTTTTTGCCCCACTGATCCACTGAACTGATTCATTATAATAGTACAAGTTAAATAAAAATACAACTATATTATATACAACAAAACTTTTAGAATATATCATATTATAATATAATACATAATTTAAAATATATCAATATAGTATATAATTTAAAATATATCAACATAATATCTAGTTTAAAATATATCAATATAATATATAATTTAAAATATATCAACATAATATATAATTTAAAATATATCAACATAATATCTAGTTTAAAATATATCAACATAATATATCAAACAAAATAACAATTTAAATTTTTGCTATAAATAATATAAATATAAATATGTACATATATAAATAAATATATAATATAAAACAAATGTAAGGATCTTAATTATAATTTGATATAATAATTAAATACAATAATAAAAAATATGTTTTTTTAGTATATAGTATATATTATAGTATATAACAATTAAGATAACAGTAAAAAAATAAATTGTTTGTGACAATACGCTGAATATAACATATTTTGCATATAAACATTTTATGAAAAAATTATAATTTTTATTTATAAATTTGTATTGGTAATAAGAGTTAATGATCAAATCATAATTTAATTAAAAAAAAATAAATAAAGAAAATCATTCCTAGTCATCAACTGATAGTAATATTTACCTTTATCGCAAAGCTCGCAATGGAATGGTTTGTTTGAGTTATGTGAACGCAAGTGGACCATCAAACTACTCGATTGGGTGAATGACTTGGAGCACAGCTGACACTGGTAAGGCTTATCACCAGTATGAATACGAATGTGGGTATTAAGACTACCGATGTGAGTAAAAGTCTTTTCACATATAGAACATTGATATGGTTTATTAGTTATATGCGAGCGTACATGCTTGGAAAGGTCTCCGGCATTTCGAAAAGATTGCTCGCATTGTGAGCATTGAAAACATTTTCTATCTGCAAAAGCTATTGTCACAGATCCGGTATTGACAGCAGATGATGTACGTGAATAATTCGAAGAGGTTATATGTGTAGTTGCACTTTTAGAATCCACCATTGTGATTGATATCGATTCACGTTGATTATTTTTTATTATTGTTGGCACATCCGGAGTGCTACCAGAACTCATTGTATCAGTCTCTACTTCTTCATAAATACCTCCTACATTTCCGTAATTTGCTAGATACATATTTTCCTTGCCATTTACTTTGATATTCGCAGAAGTTACTAGTTCATCTGGTGCATTTGAATTTGTGCCACTACTGCCAGTTGTTGTTGAAGTGCCACTGCTGCACGTTGACGACTCTTCATCACTTTCAGAATCTGTTTCACTTTCAATGCCATCAACCTTTTCATCCAGCTCTACTAATTCACATATCGGTTCGAACACATTTTCTGATTCATCTGTATTAACCGAGTTTTGTGGCTCTTCAGGTACTTGAGATCGATTAGGATGTACATCATTCAAATGACGATACATAACGGATGGATATGCAGAGTATGCACTACAGAACATGCAATGAAATGTAAGTTCAGGACGCTGTGCATTCAATTGAGGTTGTTTCTTCGGTGGAATACCATTAACGATTGGCATAATTGTGATATCTTGACTAGGTTGCAGCATGTTGTTACCAGTGTTCGTGAGGTTGTTAAATGGATTGCGTGTATGACCGTTCATTTTGTCTGTAATAAATTTTATTAATTTATATAACTAATATAATATTTACTAATTATTAGAAGAATTATATGGAAATTAATAAGCAATACATACTTCTTATTTATGAAAATGCACAAAAATATAAATTTACTCGAATTTTTCACAATTTCAATGAATTTTCTTGCTAAAATTTTTATTTAAACAACATTCTGAAAAATCAATTAAATTCCGAATTATTAGTTGCACATAAAAAAATTTTATTATAAAACGTAAAAATATGTTTATTTTCGCATTTTATTTGTTTCAATCGAATTCTTGAATATTTTAAAATTCATTACTCAGCGTTTGCAATTTCTATCAAAATTCTTCTATAAAAACTATTGCACACATCCTGTTTTTATATACATTAACTTAACTATATACAAAGGGATTATTTTTAACTCACAATTATGCTTCCTAATTTAATAACTTTATTTGAACTTTTGTAAATGCACTCGTCCAAACTATAACATTGTAAAAACTACAATAGCTTTTTTGTAAACTTTTTATATTTGAATAACAATCCCATTTTAAACATATAATTAACAAAAATAAAAAAACGAACTAAATTAATTCGACGCTGCACAATACCACACAAAACGAAGAACAATTTTTGTTTTTATGCAAGAATCTATCAAAGCGGCTGTCAAAATTTTGTTGTTGTTGCAAAAATTTAATTTATTGTGAATTGTTGTTAATGGCATTTTCGCAGCTTGGCAACAGTCCCGCAAAGTTTTTAAATTCTTTTTGTACTAACAAAATAGTTTATTGTTTGACTAAAAGTTAGATTTAAAACAAACTTTAAATGTATGTTATTTTGAACTACATAAAACTTTTTAAACAAAAGCGGTATTAAATGGCATTGTTAATATTTATTGTGAACTCATATTTATTGTGAACTCATTATTTCCGGAAATAAATTATTGTGAATTAATATTATTCTAAATTGCGGCATACGGTTTAAAATGTAGTTTGTATTCTACATATTAATTGTTGTAGCATTGATATAGCTTGTTATTATATTGTTATTGAAAATTCTAATAAAATGTACTATAAGAATAATAAAGAACTTTAATAACTTACGAATTAGACTAAAACAAGTCTAGAAGAAAAAAATATGAAACCCAAATGTGATTATTTTAAATTTATGATTTATGCGAAAAGCTAAATGAAACTATATTATTTACTATTATTCTTTGAAAAACTTGCAGCATAAAATTATATTTATATAATATATCTTTCTTACAAATATTTTCTTCTAAATAACATTTTTTAATTATATTGAGACATTTTTTTTTCTTTTTAATTTTTAAGAGGGAAACCACTTACATATATCTATGTGTTGAATCCCAAGAAAAATTTACGGTAATATATTTGCTTTCTATTTCAAAAACTCCATTGAGGCTCAAATATCTAATAAGTAGATGTAATTAATACAGAAATTCTTGATACTGCTCTAATTTCTTAAACTTGTCCAGCGAATAACAATTGATTATGAACTCTGCAATGAGACTTGCGTAAAAATGTTCACTTCCGGAGCTAATGAAATTTATGGTTGCCGCTTTATATTATTTAATACAAATGGTAAATATCACCAAACTGTAATATTTGCGCAAACTGGAAAATACATAAATTATTTTTTTTGAAATTATTTTAATGAAATATTTCTATATATTTATACAAACTAGAATATGTAAATAGATAATTTTGTTTATTTTTACAATTATATTTAACCAATTGCTTTTATATATATATTTTTTATTTTTTTTTTAGTATTTCATGTTAATAATTGATGTATGTAAAACATGAAAGTAGCAATTGTGTTTGCACGAGCAGAAGATTTTCGTCATAATAATTTAAGAAAGTTATTCATTAAATCGGGTGTATTATTTTTTACCAAACTAAAGTTGCTTAAATTTTTAAGTTTTATTGATACCTTAAATATGTAATTAATCCTGATATAATATATTTATGAAAATATTACAGCAAATTAGAAAAAAAATTAACTAAAAGTAATAAGAAAGCCTTAACTTGTACCAATATTTATTTAAAATTTAAAACAAAATATTTTTTAATGTTTAAAATCAAAATAATAATAATAATAGATTATATGAAAAGGGAAAAGTACAACTACTAAAAAATCTAATAAGTCTGAAATATCAAATAAGGTATATCAGCCAGAAACTTTATTAATAATGGCGTTTTCAATTCGTAAAACTAGATTCAATGTAGATTAACTCTCGACAATCATACTTTATGTGTCAAGTCATATAAGACAGCTGTTAATTTTAGGGTAATTTTGCTACTCTTGGAATATATCTAGATAGTTGTAAATTAATCTCGAGTGTTATACATTTCGCTCGAAATTTACTAATCGAAAATGAAAATTGAATTGAAAAAATTACCCAATCGATAATACAATAAACACCGTGTAAATATTTATTTGATTTTGTAAAAATATACTAAAAATGTTATTAACACACCCCTCTTTATGAAGTTATAGTTAAAATTAGTTCTATAAAAAGTTTTTTATATAAACAATTACATCAATATAAACAATATGCACTAAAACACCTTGTCTTTTAGAACAGCAAAAAATCCCTAGGAAATTTTAATTTACTTTACCTCAATTTACTCGAACTCGCATACGGTCGCAGTGACCCAAACCAATTAGAATTTTTATGCCAAACCTTAGAGCAAAATTGTGTTTTTTTAATTATTTCATAGTATACTTTTAGAGCGAGAAAAAAATACAACCTTGCGTTTCAATCCCCCTAAGATTAGTATTGCAATAAATTTGCAACAACAATTAAGTGATATTTGTTCTCAGTTGTATTGTAGGTAATACAGAGGGAAATTGAAATCAATTTAAAACTAAAAACAAATAACACATTGCAGGAATTGTATGTGAAAGTAAATTAAAAATTGTTATATTTAAAGTAATAATTGAATACAATTAAAACTTATATATTCATTAAATTATCTGTATTAAATTGGAGTCTTCAAAATAAATCTCTGTATATTATTGATAACTAATAAAACAAAAGTGAAGCTTATGATATTAAAGAGATCGGAAATGTATTAATATAAATGGATTAAAAAGAAAGTTAAATTGGTTTTAAAATTACAGTCCTTTTGGCATTATTGATCAACAATGTGGCGCCCCAATAGATGTCTAACGTATAAGGTTATTGCTTAATGTAAACTAAATAAGAATGACATTCTAATAAAATGAACAGAGGAAAGAAAATACTTTTCCGGGTAAATATAAATACAAATAAATATTGTATAATAATATTTGTTCTTATATCTGTGTTGGTCATCTAGTAAAATGTCATGCTAACCAGCCATAGAGACAGACATGCGGAACAATTATGAACTCTTTACAAATACAAGATTTGTACATTTGGCATTGGTTAAATATACAAAATATTATTAACTATATATTTTACTACTTAACATTATGCTACCATATATAAGTTAGATATTATATTTTAATGACAGTTTTTCCGATCCATGTTTGGAGTCCATTTTGGAGTCCACTATAGTATTTTGTTTTAAGAAATTGGATAGATAAATACATACCGATTTCCTACTATTAAATCACTTTGTCATTTTACCGTTTCCACTTGTTTCCATAAAATTTTATAGTAGCATAAACGCTCTACGTTCATGTGCGAGTTACGGAATATAGTCGTAGTATTAGGAGTGATTCCTAAATATTTCAGGAGAAGTTAATTCCATATTTTTAAAATTTTTTTTGCTATTATATTAAGCGTTCAGATATTTGAAGCTATAATGCTTTTTATTCAGTTTTGGAGGTTCAGTTTTTTATTGTAGGTTCAGATAGATTGCTTACCACGGTATAAACAAGATATATATATTTTTTATATTGATTTATATTTTCATTGTTATGTCAATAATTAAAATTAATTTATTTTCAATTATATATTTCTAAATTTATTTAACAATTTTTAAATTATTTATTTATTAACAATTAATTATAATTAATTTATATTAACAATTGCATTTAAGTTTACATCAGTTTGGTTCCATTTAAAACTAATTTCCGATATTGGAATTTAAAAATTGTTTATGAAAATAGATTTTAAAATATTTCTTCTATTTTAAATTATTTATTTATATTAGCTTAAATATAACTTAGTTTAAATCAACAATTTTATATATTAAATTTATAGCAAAAATTCTCTACTAAACTAGATAATACCACCGGATGAGATTACGTGATTTCACTAAAGGGACAATGTTTGACAAATGGAACATCCAGACAGTAGCAGCCTTCAGCGCTAAAATTAGATTAAAAATTATGATTTAATTAGAAACAGACACATCACATGAAGAAAAAGTAAGAAAAAAGGTAAGAAAGATTCGTTAAATATAAAATAAAGATTATATAGTATATTATAAATATTTATATTTTAATCACCTCTCGATTTAAACAAACCTAGCTTTGTGATGGGCCGTCTATACATGCTAAATATCATACATGTCATATATATGTATATATGGTGCACATGATATTAATTAGATTAAAAAAAAAATTTAATATGCTCATGGAAGGACTAAGATAATATTTTTCGAATAAAAAATTAAATATTCTGTATTTATACGTATTATACAAAGACCGGACATATACCATATTTTTATCACAGTAATTAAAATTATTGATTAAAAATATTGGGTGAAAAGAGTTTAATGATCTATGTAGGTAACATATATATAAAAAATGAGGCTATTGGTAAAACAATTTTATATCAATTGAATATAGAATTATGACTATATCATATTTTGATATTGGTTAAGACTATAAATTTGATTTTAATAAATTTACAGAAGTTAAAAAACGACATAGTGTAATAGCAACCAGTATCAAAAAGCTAAATGTGATCGCCACAGATTTTGGTAGACGCTGTATCAAAAGAAAATGTACACTATCTTCTATATCTTTTCCTATTTTCATATTCATTGATGTATGAAGATGGTTTGTAACATAAGCAAAAAATCAGAAATCTTCATGCAGTAAATCTTCTAATTGTATCGATGTTAATTGACAGTCATATAACTTAATCTACCCAACCCATAAGCGTTCGGCTTATATTTTATTATAAAAAGCTTTCACTAACGTAATAGTTAACATATACTTCATATAGAGTAGATACACATATCTAACATTATAAAACATTTTAGACATGAAAATTGAAAGTACGAAATTTTTGCTAATACTTACTGATCGGGTGCATCATGCCCTATATGGAACTCTCTGATTTGTTTAACTAATTCAAATGGATTTGAACCAGAGACTGGTAACCGCTTAGGACCCGTTATATCTATGCAGCCGTTCGGACAAGGTATACCCAAAAACTTTTTATGCTTAAATGTGGCATTGGCCAAATAACAAATGCTTAAAAAGTGTGAACAACGATATCGTCCTAAATGTTGTATTAAAAATTAAATAAATATTTTTAATTTTTCTTATATAAAGTTTTACTTATAGCTGGTCCTGTGCAATATGGCTGGACTCGGCCACCATTTATGCAATAATTCAAATGACCCGTATTGTCTTCCAAGCCTAGAAAACCTGCATTTGTGTGTATTACTTGTATGACAGTAGCATCGTCATGTGATAAACGATAAAAATGTGTCTTCTTGCGTTCAATAAGTGGGCGAGCAGGATCAAGGCCTATTAGGAAAATATATAAATAAAAACAAATATTTTTATAAATATTTTAAATTAAAAATTTTTTTCAGTTACCAATGATTCGATGTTGTTTAACAGTCAAATGATTTGACATCACTCCGCAGATATGAGCGCCGAGTGAATGGCCAACACAGGTAATTCTTTCACGTTCAGCACCATGGTGTGTTAGAAAGGAGTAAATCTGAATATAAAAGTGGATTTCTGAAGATAATGTTTTCCAAAAAAAATTTATGGGTATTTAGTAAATTTTAAAATAATGGAAGTTAAAAATATTTACAAGTATTTACTCACTGAACCTTAAAATAATTAAAAGTTAAATTTGTAAAATAATTCGTGTGCTTTACTATATAATAGATCATATAGTAGAAGAATTTAATAAGCTAACAAGGTTTTAGTTTAAATTGATCGTGCAGCATTTTTCGAGAAGATTTCTTATTTTGTGAAACCGGGAGTAGTTTGCGAGCTTTAGTAGTTTTATTGGCGAGTGAATTCGGGTGTTTCATTGACGAGCAAATTAAAGACGGGCATATCTGGAATCAGATATCACAACCACGCTTAATGTTTTCAACTTAACTGTTGATCGTGCAGCATTTTTCGAGAAGATTTCTTATTTTGTGAAACCGGGACTAATTTGCGAGCTTTAGTAGTTTTATTGGTGAGCGAATTCGGGTGTTTCATTGATGAGCAAATTAAAGATGGGTATATTTGGAATCAGATATCACAACCACGCTTAATGCTTTTTTTTTTTTTGCTAAATCAGAAATTTATTTTTGTATGGTTTTTCACAAATTTCTGAAGCGATAATTGATCAAAATGATCATGATCTGAATATTCATATCTTGTAATGTCCGTTTTGACGAAAGAAACTAAATTCTTAAAATTAACAATAAATGACGCGAATTTTACAATAACAAAATTTTACAACTATTATACAGCTATTTGTAGTAATGCCAAATACCCATCATCAGTGGTCTTGGATCATGAAATTAACAAAACTCTCTAGTTCGAACATACAAGTCAGGTATGGCTTTCGGTCAGTTGGCTAAATGAACGCTGACTCTGAACTTCAAATTTGGCAGGGCATGAGTTCAACCCTTAGAACTTGAGGTTTCAAAAAATTATTTACGAATAATTAAATATAAGAAATAATTCCAAGACTGTTGATGATGGATATTTGGCCATACTCGAAACAGCTAAATGGACAGCCTAAAATTCAATTAAATGAATAATTAAATTTTATAGTTATAAAACTCAGACTGCAGATACTGTAGAGAAGAGAGTGAAACTGCATACCACGTGCTTGGGGAGTGCTCGGCACTGATGCACAAGCGGAAGAAACACCTGGTAGGGTATTTCATGGATCATAAAGATTCAAGACTAGGAAAGGTAGGCTCTATACTGTCTTTCATTAAAGAAATCTTTTAGGTCGCAGTGTACAATCCCTTCTCTTAATAACAATAGTTTTAAAAACTTATTTAAATGTATTCCCTTAAAATGTAAGAAAAATGTAGACATTTCAATGAGAATAGGGAAGCAAGATAAGAGGTAGGGGCAAGTAATAATTTAAGTAATTTAAATTTATTTTTGTGAATTATTTTCTTTATTTCGTTTATAAAGATATTAAGGTGTAGATATAAACATATCCACATCTTCCCAATCGATCCATCATATTTAGAGAGAAACAACTACTACTTCTGGCCTGTTTTTCTATAACAAATATTACTTCTGTCAAAATTTGAATGGGTGGAGTAACCGCTCTATAAACCCCTTTCATCTATGGCCATGCTTCGGAAACCTATTAATTTTACTACCGTTTAACATATTTTTTGGATAATTATGGTATATACAATAATAGTATGTAATAGTTTATTTGGGATTTATCCAAGTTTTTTGCTGCTTTGTTTTAAATTTGTTCAATTTAATATTATTACAAATAATTAACAAATTTTCAACTATATTTTTTTATTAGTATTTTATTTAGTATTCCTAATATATTTATTTATTTTTAGAGTTAGTAAGATTTACCTGCGCTGTGCATTGTGCCGTTAATCTGGTGTTCACTAGCGCGTGCAGATAACACGGATATCGAGTTAATGGCCTCCAATCCACGGTGATGACGTTGAAGTCACGTGAGATATAAGCTAAAAATTTGAGTGAATAAATAATAAAAGTAAATATTAATGTTGTGAACATAAACATATAATTTAAAACTATTCATATAAATAAATTATTTATAAAATGATTTAACTTTACAGTTTTTCTTTTTTGATGTGTACAGTAAAGTCTCAGTCTCAATAATTTAAAATACATTTTTTTTTAAATAAAAGCGCTACTATTACTGGTCTCCAAAAAAGATAGGTCTAAATATTCCACAAGAATATTATATTGTAGTATAATTTATAACTTCAAAAACTGATGTGTGGGAACATAAGTAGATGTTGTTCTTGTAATCCATGTGGGGAATGGTGGTGGCAGTGAGTCGTTTAAAAGAATGAGTGAATTCAATGTCATATAGTGGCTTGTGAATTTACAGTAAGACTCAGAAGTAATTAGAGACATGTTCACACGACGTATAAGTAGGTCGTCAGTCATTTTAATACCTTAGTGTCCTACATGCTCTGAGAAACTATAGTATTCCATAACATACTAGATAATTGTTGATTGCATTACTGATTGGAGGAATCTTAAAGGAGTTTAACTTTCTGATAGTACGTAAATGTGGGTTCTTTTCATACTTCTTAAAAGGGTTCTTTCACATATATTTCCATATCACATATTTCGGACTAAAGAATTATTTAGTAGAGAATTCCGTTAGAGTCGCAGGGAAATTTATTTGTTCAATCTTCTGATATTTAACCCCGCCCAGCCCTACTATTTTTAAATTGCTATTCCGCCCAGCCCTACTATTTTTAAATTGTGATCCATTTGCTTACATATAGTTATACTTAAAATTATTAATTACTTGATACATATACTTTAGTTATGTGTTATTAATATATTAAATATAACTATTCTTTATATTGATAACGTTCTGGTTTAGGAAATAATTAAACGTTCTGGTTTAGGTGTTTTATTTACCTAAGTTCTTGAAATGTTTTTTGGGCATTCAAATATTATTTTTTTAAGAAAAATAATGTAACCTAATGGACTATGTTGCAGTTTTAATATTTTTCTTATTTGTTAGTTTAACATATAATGTGTTGAATTATGGTCAAGAAATAGTGTTACGGTGTCAATATCATGTTGTTGGTGAAACCTGTCATGGGGTCTCTTCAATTCTTGGACACCTAACGGGCAAAATCACACTCCATTTACCATGTAAATTGGAGTCCGTACTCCAGGTAGGTTTGGGATATTATTTTGGGATATTATTTTAAATAAAGTAAAGAATATCATAATAGGTGTTTATGGTACAACTTTATATAGATGCAATATAAATCATATCTAAATTTTGTTCTGATAAGTATTTTAAGTACAATCTTTTATTTTTTTTGTTATTATTTTTACGCTTCATGTATTGTTATAAGGTTTTTACCACTTTTCTAAAACACGATGTTACTTGAAAGTTCTAATGTTCTAAGAATAGCTCTAATTTTCTTTAGCTATACTCGTCGTCGAACATACTCGCAACATGAACCTGTAATAGTTAAAAAAGAAGAGTGGAAGGTTGTAAAACTCTACGGACATAATTAGTATCTTTACTGTTTACTGTTTTAATATTGCAATCTTCTAAAATGAGTAATGAAACTGTATTAGAGTCATTCCAAACTGTTAAGGAAGTCAAGAATATTTAATACTTTTTGAATTATTGATACTTTTCTGTGTTATTGTGATAAAATTTTGTGCTCTGTAACACTAACCATCCCTCAGATACTGCAGGTGTTTGTCAATGGCTGTGCCATTGAATCCATGAACTATGAATACCGTTTCACGATGTCTGCTGAACCCGCCTTGGTACAATGTCATCGGATTGTGTATGTTTAGGGCAACGCCATGGCGTAACGACTGTCTGCGTTCATAAATGGAAAGAAAAAGAGTAAAGTAATGTGAATTAATACAATTTTCTTGACTAGCTCATTTCTTAAAATTAAAACTTAACTTGTAAACAATAATAACAATAAACACAGTTTAACAACAATAAAAAGAAAAGCGTTTTTCCGCATAAATTGCATTTCAAGTACGTTTCGCCAATGGAAGATGAAAACGAAAGTAAATTTTTTTTCGCATTTTGAGATCGAGTTAAGTGGGCGGTACAGTCTTGTACAGTGAAGTGTGCTATTCAAGCATATTTAGTAGATTAGTCAATAGACCTTTATCAACTACTAGGCACGTAATTGTAATGGTTGAAATGGGCCTATAAAAAGCCACTGAAGTGAGGAAAGCAAATTATAGGGAATAAAATGTGCGTTGACAGACAGAAAATAAAGTGGGCGTTCCAAATCGGACAAGTGTAATAGCTTAGAGAACGGAACAACAAAATTTTATTTTTATATATAATAATATAATATGGGAAGAGTGTCTTGAGTAAAGTTACTACTTTTAAAAAATTTCATTTTTATTAAATATGTGAGACAGATTTAGCATCTGTAACGATTAAGCATATCTCCAAACAAATATTTGGCGATTATTCGTACATTGAGTAATACTTTTGACTTCCGCCTATATATTTTTGCAATTTTGTAAAAAAAAAATTAAAAAAAGTTATAAATCACATTTATGTCACACATGCAGTTACACTTGAGAGCTCTCAAATCTTTAGAAAAATATTTTTTGGATATGAAATAATTCTATTGCATATAAATTATGGATTCAATAAAAAAAAGTAAAAGTAAAATTTATTCCAAAAGTCTTTCCATTTTCATTGTGTCTTTTCCTATTATTGCTTGCACTTCTCTTTCCCAACCAACCATCCCAACCATCCTGGGTTTGTGACACTAAATTACCACATGCATTTGGAAGTGCCTTCACTACCATTTCAATTAACAAAGTAAATGTGGCACGGACGGACGTGCCGATGAACAAACCATAACGGAGTTGGGCTGTACTGAGGTTGTTAGTGAGTTTTTTCAACGGAGTTTGGTTGCAGGAAGCTCAGTGACGAGTTCGAGTAACACGTAATTTTAAGTGTGATGGTCTTCACAGTGACAAGTTGTAATTAAAATCACAAAACCGTGAAAAATATTTTTTTACTAACTTCAAAATAAAGTCTTCTCTTGCTGTCAGCATGGAGCCATTGGTTGATCACATAAGAGAGTTATGTCAAACATAATGGACCTTGTAAAGTATTGAAAGCAGTCGGTAACCATGAATGTTGTATGAATATCCAAGAAAGAATTTCCAGAGTATATACAACAGAATATATAGATCAAGATTTTTCGTATAACTTAAATTATATTTTGTAACTACGAACTGCTTATCAGTCGCTCACTTGTATGGCCAGAACTCTGTCAACTGGTGTTTTTGCAGTGCGATATCTGTAAATCATATTGTCATAGGGGAAAGGGGAATGTATTCCTTAATCTTTTCCTGAATTCTATAGGAATGCATGCATTTGCTTATATCTCTTATTAAAATCAACTGGTTATGGTAAAATCAACTGGTGTTTTTGCAGTGTGATATCTTTAAGTCATGTTGTCACGGGGGAAAGGGGGATGTATTCCTTAATCTTTTCCTGAATTCTCCAGGAATGCATGCATTTGCTTATATCTCTTATTAAAATCAACTGGTTATGGTAAAGTCAACTGGTGTTTTTGCAGTGTGATATCTGTAAATTATATTGTCACGGGGGAAAGGGGTCTGTATTCCTTAATTTAGGAATGCATGCATTTGCTTATATCTCTTATTAAAAACTTTTCAAATGGCCGTGATTGTTTAATTTTAAGTATTTGAAATTTACTTGAAATACGCTTCAAACGACTTTAAAAACCTGAGATAACGATCGTTTCTTATATCGTTCACTGCATACAGCAAGGTGACTATAAAATTTGGGTAACTGATAGTTAAGTAGTTTTCTTCAAATATGATGGCTTTAAAGTTTTGCAGTGTTAAATTAATTGAAATATTAAAGGTTAAGTGTTATCGGAGCCATCAGTTCGCAGAGCTCCCAAAACAAAGTACTTAACTTTTTATGTGGCCCAATTTAGGTTTCCATTTAGGTATCGTTTGGAAAATGATTAGCAAATCTGAGTTTGTGTCGATTTCAAAGTGTGACAAATCACTTAGTTGACTTGTGCTCCAACTTGGTTTTTTTATCTTCATATTTTCCATAATTGCAATTGTTGCATATTTACAACCTTAAATAGTCAAACTCGTTAGTTGCATTGAAAAGCTTTTGTTGATTAGAGCAGTTGCAATTTTTTTCGAGAAGACTATCACGTTTTCGGCTTTTTTGTTGGGTCACGTTTCGAAGCACTTAAGTTAAGTTTTGAAATCTCTAGTATAAGAGATTGTATAAATAATTTACATGTTCCTTTCATATTTATTTCAACACAATCTTTGCCTGTTTGTTTTTAGTGCACTATAACATGCAAAACGATAAAATATGGCACTTATAAGTGATTGCATTTACTTATAATTTAAATAAAAATAAAATATCTCATAAAATAAGACTAAAATTGTAAAAAGCTAGGTGACCTAATTGAATATCTACTAACTTCAAACTGCTATTGCTTTCGAGCTTATGGTAAGACTGCGTCCATATTTAAACCATTGACAACTGTTACTTATAAGCCTGTGGAAGCGTGTGCGTCTCAGTATTTCAATTTCAATTTTGTTGTTGAATCGCGAATACAGCAATCCACGTCATAAAATATACACTCAAAGACTCCTAATCCATATTTAAATAGACATAATCACTCCTAACATAGATAAATTTACAAATCATCCGGAGATCTTTCACAGTCTGATAGTTGAGATCTTTTACTTTCCGCGTAAAGCTCAGTGAGATATGGCACTGCGATTATGTAGTCTATTTGTCATCTTCTGGGTTTAAAGTAAGGCTTTAAGCACTGTTGCTTTCGATAAAAAGTAGTACAGAACCTAGTTTACAGAGTTTTATTGTCTCTTTCGTAAGAGTACACATTCCCATGAGTCCATTCCGTATATGTATTAGCGCAGGACATTTTAACAGCGCATATGTGACTGACTGTTCATTCTCTTCGCAGAATCTACAGTTTGCATTCGTATATATATCCATTCTTGTAAGGTAGTATTTTAGTTTACAGTGTCCTGTTTAGATTCCGGTGATGATTCCAAGTATTTCATACGATACTAGTATCTCTTATTGTTATATGTACCAATAAATAATTTGGATTGTGTTAATCCTTGTAGATTATTTCAGTTATCATTTTTGTTCTGGTTCTCCTTCATTTTTATGAGAGAAAGGAGGGTAATATGTCCTAATACACAGAAAGGTTCCGAGACACCATTATCAGTAATGATGAACCTAATATTACTCGGTATAACTCTTTTTTAATCTCAAAACTGTGATTACAAAAAGTATATGAAGGATTGTGCTAATCATAGTTGTATTGCACTCGATAGGTCCTACTTTAAAGGCGACATAATAAATTTTCAGTGGAATAATTTTTCCACCGAATGTATATTTATCTGTGAACCTAAAAGAAACATTCCTAATGATCTAAGTACAAACATGTAATAGAGAAAATGTTCATAATTGCGGTTAAAGGAAAAGATTAAGAAAGAATATAAATGATGAAATGATATTGTGTTTCATAATGGAAACGTTATGTATGGGATACATGTTTCGTATGCCGCCAAAAATAAAGAGATATGTATTACGAAATTGACATTCACCCACCAAAAAAATAATTGACATTTATCGTTAATAAAAATTCATTTTGGAATATCTGCTGGTGTGAATAGGCTGTGAGAGGCATTTGACTCAGTTCTTAAACGACTTTTAAAATAGAGTTTATCGTTGAATGATGCTAGGAGAAAAATGGGTGAAGTAAATCGATGAAAATCGAAACAATTTCAATTTGTTTTTTTTTTAAATTTGTCTAGTTTTTACTAATCAATGTTTTGTTCCCTATTCATAAGCAAAAGTAAAAGTTTAAAAATTTTTACTTATTGTTACAGATGTGATACTATCAATACCTCAATATCAGTACTAACCCAATCATCACAGTGTGTCCTAGTGTCAAAATGATTTGAAAGCAACCATAATTTAAAGAGACGAAGAAGAGTCTGAACTATTTTCTTATTGAAGAAAAATTTTAGTAACTTCTCAAAAATGGGGAAGATTATTTGAGTTGGCACTGCTTAACTATAAAGGTACAACAGTGTATAAGAAGAATAAGCGCACCGGATATCATTTTTTTTTATTTATTTTATTTGTAGAGTTTATAAAGTGGATTGAAATATTCTTCAAGGTACCATGATTTAGCTATCGACCATAATCGATTTTTGATCAGAAAAAAATTAAGAGTTCAGATAAGTAACTTTTGGTTAACTGAAACTTTTAATTTGTTTCCAAATAAAAATTGATTTCGATATTATATTTTAGTCATTCATATTTGATATAGCGTCTAAAAGATAATTTTCTATTTCTTGAACAAGATGGTTGATTAGATTTTGATAACACCTTTCAATCAATACGAAAAAATTTCTTGTGCGCATGTAACCAACTAGTATTGGAACCTTAACCATTCTTGTCAATTCACTTAAGCCCAATCGGCAGGATGTGCTGACTGCATTGATATATGATGTATATCTGGCAGAGAACGCTTCTAAGTTGATAAAAAGACGATGGAATGTTAAATTATTAACGACATCTTGAGAAGTACTGTTAATTAAATTGTTGCCAGGTTTCATTTCAGTTGCGGTACTGACAATGCAACTCTCCCCACGTGACATTACTAAACCAAAGGAAGCCTTGTTTACACAGGTGGATGTTGGAACATCGTTCAAGTTGTCAATTTCCGTTTCAGTTTTCTTATTACGCTTTTTACCTATGTCCCTCTCAGTAACAGCGACTAAGCAACTCGA